ATTGCATTTAAATTCTTTAATAAAGATTGAGATTCTATCTTTTGTCCCAATGAGTTTTCCTCAAGAACTGGTGGTGTTTGAGAATTATTCATTCCATATTGATCTATGTTCTTCGATATAACAACTATTTGGGCAGCTAAAATAGATATTGCATCAGAATCATGAATAATAGATACACTTTATGGATTTACCATTTCAAAAGGCCATTGAAAATTATTAGTAGCCATTTCTTCAATTAACGAATACGCTTCATCTAATGGTTTTAACATTAATGATCCACCAGCTGCAGCGTCAATTATTGCTCTAAGAGATCGAACCCATACATTATAAAAAGTTTGAATTATTAACCGATCTGTTAATGCATGGTGGGGACACTTCTTAAGAAGATCTTTAAATCTTTCCTAAGTTTCATAAATTGATTCCCCGTCAAACTGATAAAAAAAGATGTAATATCATTTCAAAGCTTAGCAGTTTTTTATGGTGGGAAATATTTAGATAAAAATTTTTGTCATAAATCTCCTTAATTTCTGGTAGATCTAGGAGCTAACATGTTTAACCACATCTTAGATTTATCACTTACTCAAAAAGGAAAAAGTTTAAGTTTGACAACATCATTCAACACTTCTTCATAATTAAATGTAGCACACAATTTGAGAAAACTAGCATGGTAAAAATGAAGATCATCAGTTGGTGTTCCCCAAAACTGATTATTTTGTACCATTTGGATAATAACAGGTTTAAGCTTAAATGACTTGGTAGCTACAATAGGGTTTTGTATACTCAAATGGATTTCATATGCTATAGGATTAGCATAATCTCTTAAATGTCTCTGATGATGTTCATTTTTAATTCTAGAATTATTCAAACTGCAAGCCATTTTATTAAAATTTTCTATTTCTTTTTGTTGTTTTCAAATTTTTCTAATAGTTCTTTCTAACTCCAAATCATAAGGTACTAAATTTTCAGATCTTAAACTTCACATAAACAAACACAATAAACAATTAAAATAAGCAAACACACTAAAATATGAAAATATTCAAATTAAACTACAATAAATTTTTCAGTTCAAACAAAATGTTTTAAATTATTAAGTAATTTATCATTACTTCCCTGACAACAACACCAAAAACTTGATGTGCAGTTTTTTGAGTGTTGCTTTTGTAAATATTTTTCAATATCACAAAACATACACGACAACACTAAGAATAAATTCAATCCCAATAAAATTAACTTTAGTAAGAACAATTTTATCTTTTAAAATTTTTAAACTATCAATCTTGTAACAATAATGTAAGTATACATATCGCTCAAGTAATAAACGACTCTAGTAAAGTCCTAAGTATCGATCCCACAGGGAGTTTGAAATTCTTATAACTAATACACTGGAGGAAGTTCCCCAGGATTCTGAAGACCACAACTTACATGGGTGCCAACCATTTCAAAATTATCAAGGTGAAATGGGAGAGACCTCCTTACCCTTTCATTAAAATAAACACTGATGGAAGCTACACAAACAAGAGAGCAGGCATTGGGGGAATTTTCAGAGATCACAAAGGGAAGACTTTGCTGTTTTACAAGGCCCCTTATATTGCTGATGATGCTTTGGAAACTGAAGCTGCTGTACTTTTTGGGGCTTTAAATTTTGCTCATAAGAAAAATTGGCAGTGGATTGTCGCTGAACTGGACTCCTACCCGCTGGTGGAGTTACTAAATTCTAAGATGTCTTCCTCTTAGCATATCAATCAATGGATTCATAGAATCAACAAGCTTAGCACTGAAAGTAAAATCCATTTCTCTTTTGTGTATAGGGAAGCTAATATACCTGCTAATTATCTAGCAATAGAAGGTGCTCATGCTGATCATCCTGAGGTGTCAACAACTCTCTCCCTCTCTCTACATCTACTAACTCAGGGGGACAAGCTACAAATTCCTTATCTCAGAGTGCAAAGATGATTGCTGGTTTTGTGAGTGTGGACATAAAATGTTATACTATGTTGCTGAGATTGTGTCTCTTCTTGACATTGGGAATTCAGTTGTTTAGCTTTGATAGGAAGTTCTTTTGTAAATATACATACATATATATATATATATATATATACAATGTTTTGTTTTCTCCCTTCTGTTTGTGTTGAGGATGTAAGTGGATGGGTCACTCTTATGAGTGAGTTATGTATGTTTTGCTTTAGTTTTAGATAGGGGACCCCTTCCCATTTTTCCATTTGTTTTCTTTTGGATCAACATGCAAGGAGCTGAATAATGCTCCTTACCCAAAAAAAAAAAAATCATTAAAAATTAAGATCTAAAGTAATTGAGCGTATACATCTAACTAAACTATTTGCTAAACATCAAAAGTACACTTATAAAAACAAAACAAAATTTCTATGATGAAGTGTTTAAATTTAAGAATGCATTCTTCCCATTTACAATGTGTATACAGATTGTGAAGAAATTATATATATATATATATATCCCATCTAAAAGCAAAAAAAAAATACACTATAGCCCTAGGGGTTCCAGTCTCCGCAGTACAACGCAACGCGAAATAAAATAAATGCCTAAAGAAAAAGCTATCCAAAAAATACATGTAATCGTCCAAAATGTATACCAAAGGAATAGTATACCCAAAAAAACTAGATGTACATGAAATCCAAATCCAACAGTAATGTCGAGCAGCAACATGAAGGTGAAGGCTTTCAGTTACAGTGAGAAGGCAAAAATTGAAATCTGAATAAAGGACCGCATCGAGCTGAAAATGTAGTGAAGGATCCCTAGCAATCCCGGTGTATAATAACAAGCCCATTAGGCCAAAAGCCATCATCAAGATCCTGCATAAACATACATTGAAACTTGCACCAAAAATAAGATCCAAATATCTGGAATGTATGAGGGAGGAGAAAAAATTGCCACTCCAAACCCAGTACAGTTCCTGTACCGAGAAATGAAAATCCAGCAAATAGTACAGAGGAAATTGAAACATATCTGTAAAGCAAGTAGATACCAAACCATAAGCAATAAATACACCAAACCAATCAGCTATTAACATTCCTATGATAAGGTTCAGCCATTAAATCCCCATGAAGTAAAACCTGTAAAGGAGAGGGAGGCACCGTATTGACTAAGATCATGGAGGTGGAGGCACCGCGTTTTGCCACCCAATTAGCCGACCTATTACTTTCGCGATGAATAAAACTCCAAAGAACCAAAACTGTAGAGGATAATCAAATAATACAGTTAATGTGTGAAGCAACATCCCAAGTGACAAGTCTCCCTTGATTTAACATCTCAAAAAGAATCTTAGAGTCGGTCTCGATCAAAATATTAGACCAATTCAAAGAGACCGCAATAGTGACTGCCATTAAAATTGTGTGAGCTTCAGACTCTACAGTAGAGTCTGCAATGCTTGGAGAAGAGAAAAATAGCAAGCAGCGACCACTGTGGTTACGCACAACTCCCCCAAAACCAGCACTGCTTTGATTCCAACTACCATCCGTTTTAATTTTCACCCACCCCATCGGGGGCGGTTGCCACTTCACCAAGGTTGGTTTGGAAAGCGACCTACTCTGTAGAGGGTGAGGAAGAGAGTCAAAATATATA